TATTCGTATGATGATACAATAGAAGTAAACTCTCATGCCACTTCTTCCTACAGAGTGGCGCAACCGATAGGTAACAACTTTTTCTTACAGGAAGTTCCCATTATACTTGGTGCAGCGATAACATATTGAACTCTGGCGATTGAGGATCTATTTTTAAACAGTTTAACATATTTTCTCTTTGCAACATATTTGATCTCTCGATATCTGAAATAGGTTTTGCTCATCAACAGTAAACTATCTTTCAGTTAGGCTTTGTGCTAATGTATGAGGAACAATGCATTTTTTTCAAGACAAAACGACAGATATCCTCTTAAATGATGAATTTTGGTCGGTTGATATTTTTGAAAAAATCAACCCCTCCTTGAAAAATAGAAGACGACACCAATTTGAAAACAATCGGACCAAAACTGTATATAAAGATAGAAACACTGGCAAATCTCCAGGTTAGTATAACACGCTCTGAGATGGCGGTCAGATGTCGTCGTCATGTAGCCCCGTCCCGAAAGTTAATTCCACGGCCCCGGTAGGTACATGTACACTCCTCGGCTTTCTACAAGCATTCTTCTACGGGCCCGCAGTTGCTGCCAGCCAGCCGGCAAAGAGAAATTAAAAGCTAACTTTTTACAAATAAATTTTCAAAAATGCGCTAACAACATTTAAAAAAACATATTTGGCATTTATGAAAATTAGATAGCGGCAAAAACCATTGTGAACAAATTCTACAAAGATATTACGCCTCCACGTAAAAATAAACAATAATCCTCGACTCATCATACAAGCCGACAACAAACATTGTAATTAAATTCCCGGATTAAAATATTAAATACATGTGATAAGTTTCATAACACTCTATTACGTACACAAAATCTCCCAGATACCTTAAATCATCTAAACACAAGACCAATGCCCTGACAATTCAAATTTATGATAACGAGCATCTATTATATCAACAGCAAATAAACAAAAACGCCTACGCCCTACTTTTTTAATGGTATGTATAATTAAAAAAAAAATTATCTGGCTTCTTAAACAAACGCACTTATACATCTAGAACAACCTAGGTTCTGCCGTTCCACGCGAACCTTCGTCCTTGTGGAATTTGAATTATGCACTTCCCGGGAAAACATTTCCAGTGGCTTAGCATATGCGTTTTTCGTCTTTAATGGAACGATCAAATTCAAAAACTGTCGGATATGTTACATCACAAAACTTCAAGGTTGAAAAAGTACGATTTTTTTCGAATGTGACACCCTGTATATTATTTGATGGTCGGATGCAGAATCTTATTATGCATCGACCCCTTAAAAATAAGATCACAAGACCGTGAACACTGTATCTATTTCTAACGTACTTTTTCAACCAAAATGATGTAATTGGTTATTCAATTTTGGACACTCTGTATGCCATAAATCAATTGCTAATGTGGATATTGATTTTGTGCTTCGGTCTACTCCAGAAGCGGTTACGAGCACTTAAGAATGGTTAAAATGCGCATTGTTCAAAATAAAGCCAGATCAAGACATCTAAATACAGTTGACAATAGGTATGGGGAATTCTCATGAAACTCATGATGAAATTTTCTAAAAAAATCCGAAAAAGAAGCAATATCTGGGCGTTGCAATTTAAATTAAGGAAGTTAATGATGCCTTCTGGACTGGAAGTTGTATGACCTTGAATATATTTTAAACTGAAAGACAATTTTGAATAACCCTGGTCAACAATTGTGGATTCTGCTCTTTGTTTCGCACGAAACTGGTGCGTTTTTAATCATTTGAAATCGTACGCAAGTTGAAATTTTCTTATTTATAGATATTTTTTTGAAATTTTAACCAAGGATTCTTTTAGTAAAAGCAAATATATCGGATATCGGGTATGTGCGCAATGCTAAGTGTCTTATTTATAACACTATTTATGCCTCGATTTATGCTATAACTTATTTTCCTTTGTACAAATCAATAGTCCGTTAAATGGCTTTTAGGGAAGTACTGATCAATTCATGGAAAATGCGCCTAAAGTTACTCGCCTTAAGGGGGGTATTTTTCCGTTCTTAAATACATAATAAAAATGTGTACAAGAGTTCTTTATGTTTCTTTATTAAATAGATAACTGTAACAGTAACTGTTTTTATTTTTTGTATTTCGCGACCCCCTCAGACACGTTCTGCGGTGGCGACCCATCGGTTGAGACCCACTGTTCAATATGGAACAGAAAAAAACAATTTTTGGCAGAGCCGGACTGAGTTTAGATTAGTATGGCGGGGCAAAATGTTGGATGCGGCTCCACCACAAATGCACATGATGCACAATCCACTGAAAGCCATTAGACGTTGCCCTAGCGAAATGGAGCAAAAAAAAAACAAATATTTGGAATCGTAAACAGTTCCCTCTTTTCCAGGGCCTCAAAGGATCTCGAAGAGTCTTCCAAAAGCCTTTACAGTCAATAAGTGTCACTCCTGTTTAAATGGTATTTAAAAATATGTAAGGTCAATTAAAAAACCGTTAATAACAGGGGTTTGAAAACAATTCTTCTGGACAATTCTATTGTTTTGTCTAATGGTAGTTTTTTTGGTCATTTCCTCCGTGTAATTGTAAATATGTGCATACTTGTAATCAGTGTCAATGCCAACGAAATCGCATCTGTAAATCTACCTACAGTCTGGGGACAACTTTTTTACGAAACGAAATCAATGGATCCTTGAATAATTCGCCAAGGTCGGTGGGGCCATTAAAGTTACCTACAAAGAATATGACACGTGCTCACTAATAATGAAAGGCGTACGTGAATTATTAACAAAAAATATAGACGACTGTTTCTAGCATTAAAAATTTGTTGTTTTTTGCGGCAATATTATTATTATTTATACATAAAAGTAAATTGAATTTTTTCGCAATATTTTCGTACGTCATGTACACTATGTGCGTATTGTTGGAAAATGAGTCCTCAAAGCGTCTAAAAGGATATAAAATCTCTCTTAGTATCCTTAGAAAGTAAGTGGAGGCGTTGACAGATTAAAATTTCAGGTTTGTAATGAGAAGCGTAAAGTCCGGAAGATATGCAAAGTTTTTTTTTTGTTAATAAACCAAAAGTGTAAAGAATTCGTTTGGGAGCTAAACTCCAAATCCTTAGGACATCAAATTATTCCAACTCCTAAATTAAAAATAATGCTAATTATCTGCAGGAATTCCATCCACCATGTGTGTAGGGGCTTTCAACCTCGGGCAATTTGGTGGAGAAAATTTCTGTGTCTGAGTAGGGTTGTTCCAATTTCCTATTTGTGTATAGACGGAAATGGGGGCTAATTGTTGGCCAGGCCTCTAGTACGAGTATAAACTAACCTTTCATTAACAATGACCCTTTGTAATATACTTCTATGGTCATTAAGGGTAGTATATGACAGTAGTCGGCCTGACTTGTGGTGTTTTGAATGACCTATACGGACGAGTAGGATTTTCCTTAGTTTGCGTACACGTCATATGTGTATTATGACGTCATCACTATTGGATGAAACAAAATTTTCTTCAGTCCTTCGCAGGTAGATCGCTTTTTTGCAGGCTACGTATTCCGCTTCGGTTCTGGCGAGGGTACTGGACAGTGGACAGCGCCATAGACTTCTGCTTTGACAACTGACGGGAACTTCATCAGGCTGCAGTTCCACCCCAATCATTTTAATTGTTTTTTCGTAATAACAACGCCAGCAGTACTTAGCAGCAAAGCCCGAGAGGCGCCTGCAATCTTGACTTACTCCATACTCATGAACAGCGCCACCGTTACTTTCGTGTCAAAACGAGGGACGTTTCGCGGCACTTTCGAATTTGGGTGGCGGTACTTTTTAATACATAAATGGGATAGGAAATTGAGTAAAAAATCATCATTTTGTGCGTAAGAAAAAACGAAGAACATTAAAAAGATATTTACGCACACAACCAGGCGATGTCAGGGAAACCTTCTGCGGGACAAAAACCCTGGCATAGCCCACACAAACTACACAAACGCGAACTAAATTAACAAAGACAACAAAAGCAATAGAAAATCCACAAGACATATCAAATTGTGTAACAACAAAAATCAGGTCACGAATTTCAAGGTTCTTGGGAGGTCATATTTTTCCTAAAAACATCAACGTGCATCGTTACAGCTGGTTCTTGAACGTTGCAAGGGTGATAAACTTTTGCCTTGTTCGCCGATCTTACTGTCTTCGTCCTGGTAAATATCGAACCATAGCCTTTTTATCGAAGACGCCTTACTTTCGGATATCTCGAATTTTAAAACACCGCAGGCGCCGTTTACCAGGCGTTTTCTTGACTTTCAAATCTTGTGGTTGATATCTGAAGAATCTGGAAAACATGAATATGAATCAGCAGTTACAAACATATCATCTTCCAAATTCCCCATATATTTTTTTATGGGATTGACAAGGAAATTTTTATATTTGAAGACCAAAGTATGAGTGCAAACCCTTTTTTAGGTTTCTCGTGTTACACATCTAACTTTAGAGCCACATAAAACAAAACCATCAGATCACAACACATCAAATTTTAGTATTTTGGCAATTGCATCTTTCCTAACATTTATTTCTGAAATGAAAGATTACACAAGCGTTACTTGCAGTATTGAACCTTTCTTAAAAATTTAAAATACAAAATTAAATTTTTATAAGCCTGGAGTTTCAAATAGATTGTGCTCTTTGGTGTAGGAGTGGTAAAAAACGACAGGATTGCAAATCTTACCTTTCTTACGAAGCCAATTTGCGGCTATAAATTACAATAACTTTTTGCGTGTTTCATGTAATTAATCTCATAATGAAACATAAGACGTACCTAGTGTAGTTTATAAATTTCATACTTTCTTTTCTGCTGATTACCTTACAGTGACACGAGTTATTGTGGAAAAATGATTATAGCTGTTTACTTACCATTTTATTACGCCATCAAAATTTTAACAACTTTGCATAAATCGATTTGCTCAACAACAAATGACTGATTTCTTGTTTTTTTTTTCAGATAAGTATTTCTACAACACAGATGAAGATCTATCTAGTGATACAAGAGTCAACATAGAATTTTTACACTCCGTCCCACACCATCTTCGTAAAAGACAAGCGTTGCCGCAGGATCTATATGGATTTAGAAACAAAACGACAACAGAACCTCCTACCCAGTCCCCATCAGTACCACCAGTAATTATTCCTATTTCTCCTGCATCAATAGACGTAAGTGCTGAAATTACTTTTGCGATTCCAAAACTTTAGTTTTTTTATGCGTAGAAAAATGACACCCTAAAGAAAACTACCACAGAGAAATCAAACTTGACTGTCGAAAAATTGCTAGGTAAGAATTTAGGTGAAAATGGCGCTGGCATACGGAAAAACTACACAATTGTTACAACTACGCCTACAAGTACTACAACGGCTGCGGTCTTAACAAGTAACACCGAGGATCATTTGATAGTTCCAAAAGTACAAAAGAACGAAACCACTAATGGAACGACGACCGACGAATCACTACCTGAAATTTCAATTGACAAATTTGCTAAAGACTCGGAGATCTTTAACAAAACTTTATTAGAACACCAAGTGAATGAGACCAAAACCGTAAGTAAAAAACTAAAGATTATAATTCGTCTCATTTGTTATCTGTAGGATGCACATATCTATTATAACAGTACCATGACGGTTGATGCCGCAATTACTGAACAATATTGGGTCCACTTTGAAAACAATAGTGATGTTAGAGTTAACGATTTATTATCAAATGCATATCGCAGGGCTGCCGTAAGTATTCAAGTTATGTAGTCGACCTCTCGATAATATAATTTCCAACAGACCGTGAAGCTATCGTTTGATTTTCCGTTTTACGGACATCTTGTTCGAAATATTACTGTAGCTACAGGAGGATTTATTTACATGGGCGAATATCTCCACTCGTGGCTAGCGGCGACGCAGTACATCGCGCCGCTTATGGCTAACTTTGATACGGCGGTATCAAATCACAGTTTTATTAAGTATTTGGATAATGGTAAGTCTTCTCTTGCTTGAACATATTGATGTGTGTGTCACTCACAAAATCAAATACCTACCATAAAACTGTTTAAAAAACCTAGGTCGTAACTTGCGCTCATTCTAATAGGAAACTGTTTTTTTATAACAAAACACAAATTAATGTATATATTTAAAAATTGCTGTAAGAAAAAGCGGCACTCTGGGTCAGAAACACATACCTCGCAACACAGGCGGTCGATCGTAACAGGTCAAATAAAGTCTTCATCACTTTATAATGTCAATAATCCAAAAATCCCGTCTTACAGTGCAATCCTTAACTCAAATGCGCACAACAAATATAAAAACTGATTTCATCTCAGAAACTCCACTTCTTTTTTACGTATCACTGAAACCTTTCTCCAAGTATGTGACAAAACTTATTAACTAGAATTCGATTATTCATTGTATCATGACGGATCTAAAATTTCTTAATTTACTAATTAACTTCGTAGTATACTTAACCCCCAGGTTCTACGCTAACTTCACACTACACTAACACTGAAATAAAGTCAACCCGGCAACGTTTAAAAATGGCCACCCGAATGACTATTTCCTCCAAAACTAAACTAGATCCCGCTTAAATTTGAAAAGTGGCACATGATAAAACATCTAGGGCAGGGCCCCCTTACGTTAGCTGTAAACAACGCTTTGACCTGAAGCACAGTAGGGAAGGTACACTCAAATTGTGAAAAGTTTGTTTAATAATTATCGTGATTATTATGATTGTAAAAGCTCGGAAATTTAAGGTAAAATGAATTACGTTGCAAAATTGAACTTTGAAAACAGTAGTTCACCAAATAAAAATAGGAATAGGTTGTGAAAAAAAGAACTTACCAATAAGAAAACCAGCCGTCAAATTAATATTATATACACTGTGTCCATTTTTCGAGTGCCACTATGGGGATCTCGCTTACCTTAAGAGATAGAAAGTTGGTTAAATGGGGGCAAAGTTGCGAATTTCCCTGCTGAATAACCATCTGAAAAGAAATTTAAAATATCATCAATAGTTCTGAAAATATCGCAAAAAAACGAAACTCGATTTTCGTTTTGAATGTTTTCATGATAAACCTGTCGTACTTGACATTTCTAATTAACACATTATTCGAACACTTTTCAATGGAGATTTCGAATGTGACATCTCGTTTTAAATAACTTTTAAGATGACAGAGAAACACGTGGCAACTTTAGTTTTTCTTATGGGCGCCATTTTTAATTTTGAGATTTTAAGATTACGTCTTTTTTCTCTTTACGACGATATATCACACATGGTGGTTCAGTATCACATTTTTCCTAAAATACAATTTTTAATTTTTTTGGAAGAGTGCTTTGGAAAAACAAAACGTTCTTTTATTGTGAACAAAAGTTTGACAGTTTGATGCATATGTCCGGTTGCAGCATTGGCATCAGGGAACTAGATGTGTTGAGAAAATTCGATTTTCATATGAACAGAATTGAACCTTCGTTTTAAAAGAAAATTATAATTCAAATTAGAACAAAATACATAAGAATAAATAATATTTTAGCAATAAAACTAGCACAAACGTAAATGACACTGCTTGAAATAGGTCAACATTTTGTTCACAACAAAACAACGTTTTGTTTTTGCATAGCACTCTTCGCAGAAAATGAAAATTGTATTTTTAGAAAAAATGTGATACTGAACCACCATGTGTGATATATCGTTGTAAAGAGAAAAAAAACCTAATCTCAAAATGTCAAAATCCAAAACGGCGCCCATAAAAAAACTAATGTTGCCACGTGTTTCTCCGTTATCTTGAAAGTTATTATAAACGGGATGCCATATTCGAAATCTCCATTAAAAAGTGTCTGAATAATGTGTTAATTAGAAATGTCTAGTAGGTACAATTAGTTTACCTTGAAAAAGTTAAAAATGAAAATCAGAAATTTTCTATTTTTTGCCATATTTTCAAAACTATTGAAGATATTATAAATTTATTTTTAAATTATTATTCAGCACGAAAATTCGCAACTTTGCCCTAATTTAACCAAGTTTCTATCTCTTAAGTTAAGCGAGATCCCCATAGTGGTACTCGAAAAATGGACTCCGTGTATTATAGCAACCATATTTACAGTTACGCTATTCAAAGAAAGAACAATAACAAATATTGGCTTTGTTTCATTTCCAATTTAAATCTAGAGGTGGACCATGTTTTGATACTTGTGGCAACATGCCAGAGGCTAGGGGGAAACAGTACCATTTTTGGTGTACACCAAAATTTCAAATTCAAATTAATTCACGTTAATTCAAATTAATTCACGTTAATTCAAATTAATTTACATTAATTCAAATTAATTCACGTTAATTCAAATTAAGTGAATGTATACCAAAAATTCAAAGTTGTTTCCCCCTAGGCCAGAGCCCCCCCCCCTCCCCCACTTTAAAAGTTTATATTTACATATCCTTTAATAACCTTTAACACCCGACGGTAGAGGGCACACACTATTAAAGATTTAAAAGGTGTGAAATTCTCGTTTCATCATTACAAATTTGATAGTGAACCATGCCAAAATTAACTACACAAAACCAACGATGACAACTAAAAGTTATTGTTTTACAGGGACCGCTTTCACGGTCGTCTGGGAAGAAGTGCATTTACAAGATACTCCCCAGGTGGGTTCCTTTGTATTCCAGACCACGTTATTTAAGAACGGGGATATAGTATTTGTTTATAAAAATATTCCCATTCCCGTGGAGGAAATTGTTGACGATAATCATCCTGTTAAAGTTGGGCTTTCGGATGCGTATCTTATAGATCACACCATATTCTGTAAGTATTGTTAATTGAAGTGCCAATCTGCAGTTTTTATGATTTTTAGTTGTGCGAAGGAAAACAATCTACGAATATCATCGTGTGAACTTTAGCAAGGAGGATATTAAAAATGATACGACAATTTATCTAAAAGCGCTGCCCACCTGTTTGGATAGTAAAGATTGCCATTCTTGTCTGACAACACAAATTGATAATTTTGAGGTAACTTATTACTTAATCATTATTTTTTATACATTTTTTTTTAGTGCACTTGGTGTCCATCAAACGGTCGTTGTTCGAACGGCTTAGACAGACATAAACAAGAGTGGCTCGCAAAGGGATGCGATAGAAAACAAGTTGCAAATGAGTCTCAGTGTTATCAAGTAGATACAGTTGAAGGATTAAATCACAATGATGAACATAACACTTATTATAACACAGATAAACACATAGAGGACACAAAGGTACAGAGTAATGAAAGAGGTCTGCCAAATAATCAAAATAAGAAGAAGGTGAACGATGATGACCATTCTCAAGAAACTTCGTTTAATACCGTTCAAGCGTCGAGAATCTCACAAAGCTCGCAACATATAGAACCAGATGGTGACGTTAAAATGGGCGCGTCGGGTATCATAACGATACTATTTTTGGTGTCCGTTATAACAGCATTGGCTGTATGGGTGCTGTATGCATATAGAAATCCTCATACGACCAGTGGTCAAATTCTCATTAGGGTAAGTCATTTTTAAATCTTTGTCAGATGCACTGATTTAAATGGTCTTGTTAAAATGTGCAGCATTTTCGGATATCCAAATCAAATTTGGATAATGTAAGTAGTTTTAATAACATTAGCAATTACACTGAAGAGATTGTAAAAAGTTATTGACGAATTATTCGATTTTAGTATCGACCAAGTCAATGGAGATGGAAAAGAGGTGAAGCGCGATATACTGCAGCAACGATACATATGTGAACATTTAGCTTACTAAAAAGGACTTTAGATAGACCATGGTTGTGTGTGTTTCGTACCAAAAAACGAACTAAATTTGGCAAATTAATATTGATTGTACATTCATTATAAACACAGCCTGCCACTTTACTACGAGATAAAACACCAAATTGGTTTGCTCAAACAAATTCGGTTTGAATCTTTAATCAGACGAGATAATTTTATTTTAATAATAGCAACGGTTTTATGTTAATTTACTCTACTGTGATAATCACGCTATAAATAATTAATTTTAAATCGAAATAAAAATTATAGAGTGTATCATAAAGTTTGTTTACTGTTATCTGTTAGGGTATTCTAGTATTAGAGAACTATGTTGTGAATCTGTGCAGCTTTGCTCCCTTTTATTAATCTCCATAATTGTGCACTATTGATTGATATGTTAATGTTGTTTCTATCTAGCACAAGTGCCTTAATTATATTGTATGTTCTAATTCTAAAAGCAATGTTTGAAGAATCTAAATCACGGCAATAATTTCGAATCTTGATTGTTAACTATTGATAATCAATTTTATAGCACGGTACCTTTGACTTATTCTACGAAAATCATGACTATGTAAATAAAAATTTATATTCTGTAGTGTCTCAAAATGTAGTTCTATTTTATCATCCTCGCCATTCTTTCCTTGTTTTTGAGTTTTTCTTTTTTGTCTCCGTCTCCTCATGTGTTGGTCCAAGAGTAAAAAATAAGATATCCAAGATTTAAACTAAAAAAAAGTAAGTATTCAGAAAATTGTAGGAGTAAGTGTTAGGGCATGGACAGAGACACTTAAATATTAGAGCCATACAAATAATGTATGATCTGGGTCAGAATTTTAAAATCATAATAGTAAAGGAAGGAATTATAAACAGAAAGGGGAGTAGACGAAGGAGAAGGATGAAGATGATAGACGATTGCAATTAAGAGAAAGGCGAAGTTGAGGAAGAGCACTAGGACCTGTGCTGATGATGATGGACTTTAACGAGGTTTCATGGGTTTTTAAGAGATTATTATGAGTCTGTATAAGAGACGCCACTAATCTCAAATGAAGCTTATTTGAAATGCTGAAAAAGCCTAGAAGTCTATAGTGCCATTGAGACGTTTTATGAGCCTTTCAAAATTTTCCGTAAAAGCTTTGAGAGACCTTTTAAGATTTATTAAAGGTTACTAAGGTTCTTTTTCAATGAGATATTATTCTACTTGAGTGTAAACCAGAGTCAATTTTTTTCCATAATTTTGGTTTATATGCATCTGAACATCCTATAAAGTATATTTCATGAGTGTGAAACTACTTATACATTATAGAAAAAAAATTACAAAACCAAAACACTGTTATCCTGCATTAGTTCAAACTCATGAATCAACTGACACAACTATGTCATGTGTATATGAACTAACACCACAGCTTACTATCAGTAAGCTGTGCTAACACACTCTAGCTCTACGATAAAGACAGACGGACAAAAGTGTCAGCATTACTGTAATTGTGTGGTATCACAGTCTACTTTCTACAAGACTGTGTTGTTGTTTCAAAGATAGTACTACACATTATCTTTTTAATTTTTTATATACGACTGCTTGATAATGCGGTGATTACAGTCGCAATTAATGGCCATAATTTGCAATATTATGGCCTAGTCCATAATGATAAAGTGAAACAGCCGCCTGTCAATGTGACAGTCGTACCAAAGAGGTCGTACTTAGGTGTGAATCCAAGGTAAATTCAAGTATTTTAGAAATACTTGACAAATGCTTTGCATCTGTTGTCAATGATACATAGATTTTATCGTTTATTGAATTCCATGAAATTTTCATTTTTAAGGGTTGTTGCAGTCGTACATAAAGCTTTGTATATATCGCGTCCATAAATAGGCTTCATGGGGACTCGCCTTGTTTATTTGTGCCTCGTTCGCAAGCTCGCTCGGCTAAATAAACAGCTCGTCCATAAAGACCCAATTTATGTATATAAATAGGCTATTATCAAAGAGTATATTCGTTGTATACTCTTTGCTATTATTCAATACTTTGGTTTGTTTGAACAGCGCTATAAACGAATAAATGTACGAACACTTTTTTAAATGATTGCCATTAGATGGCGACAAGTGTTCTCTGTTAATGTTATCGTTATCTACTTTTACCATTGCTGTAAATGAAAAATGTCCGTTATTTTAACTTGATTTTATTTTCAAACATTTTTAAAGTTTTTAATTATAATAAGCATGTTTTCTCGTTTGACTCTGTAATTAACACAACGTGAAGTAAGCATGGATTCTTCATTTGTATTGCTAAGCTCAATGTCTCCAATAATTAACAAAACAACCAGAAATGTACAAGTTTCCAGTAAGTTTGACTCAAATTTAATTTAAATCAGATTTCTAACTAAAAACTACAGCTCCTAGATTATTGGCATTAAGACGAAACATTCGAAGATCATCACATATTGACAACTTACGAAAATCGCTGCCTTTTGCCGATACTGTGATATCCATCGAAAGCAGTACCACAGAGACTGTCAGTAGTGGACACTCGAAGCCCAATTTTATAAATTCTAGTCCCATAGTTATATCGGATTCGGAGGCAGAGAAGGATATTATTGAAAGGAAGTCCAACGAAAGGGTTACTTTTGATAAAACAAAATTTTTAACGATTAGCGATTGGGTTAGAGATGTTAATTCGCAAAATCACATCACTCCAAATGACGCAGCCACAACATGTGGTTCATTTAACTTTAACAAGGTTTTGCATAGCTTGCCCAATCCTGATAGCTTTAAAGATCGACACAATACTAAGTCCGACTGTCTTAGTATCTCGTCTAGATCTCAAATATCGGATAGTTCAAACGAATTTCAGACGAAATTATTAGATGAGCTATACAGTGATACGTGGCGAAATTTAAAAAGTGACGTTCTGCCTAAGTCTGCACCAAATAGTACAAAGAAAAGTAGTACAAAAACAAATCTGTAAGTTAAAGTTTGTTCAGTTTCCGTTCATGACATTCATTTTTAGCAAAGTAAGGGACCACAACCAAGTTTTAATTTCTCCGTGGACTAAGTTTGTTCGAGACGTATACGATTCAGATAGCTCAGAGGATAAAGAAGAGACACGCAGAAGTGGCAATTCTGGAAGCAGTAAAAGGTCCAATATTTCAAAGGGCAGTAACCGACGAGCCGAACAGAGTGTAGGAAATAATCAAACACCAAATGGGTTCAAAACACCTCGAAATACTAAGCCTGTATGTCGTAGCACATCATCACAATCGCATAGTTCTACTGAATTTTATTGCGGTATTATACCAAAGTCTCTGCCGAATAGTAGAGGGGTGGATCTGTAAGTTTTACCGTGTACCCAAGGGGTTAGCCACTTAAGGAAACACATCACATTTACTTAACATTTACCGCAGCTGCCAGTAAAATGAAGATGTTTAATGGGTTACGTAGCCCAAGGCCTAGGTCAGGGGTTGGCAACCTGCGGCTCTTTTGATATAAAGTTGCGGCTCTCCGTATTTATCTAAAGAAATTAGTTCATTTGTTCGAAATTCGCCTTTTTAATTACTCTTATTTGTTTACGAAATCAAAAGTACACGCAGCAAATAATTATCTAATTTTTGACACTTTTTTACTTTCTGGTATTCTTTTGTTTTTTTATTATAGCAGCCTACTTCGATGTATAAACATATAATTAATTAATGAGTAGGTACTTTTGTTAAAAATATTGAATAACATAAAAACTGTGGGGTTTAAGCACAGGGCACCCCTTATAAACATTGAAGAGAACACAAAAGACAATCAAATAGCGAAATAAAATAGTGGTAGTTTCAGTTGAAAAAGAGTGGTTATAGCACTTTGAACAAATGGCATTGAAACAAGTAAAAATATGCAGGATGTTCTATTTAAAAAGATCAGTTATTTATTGACGTCGTCTGTACATTCAAAAATAATTTCTGTAGATCTGTAACCACGAATATTTTTTACCAGGTATCAGCTATGTATGAAAAACCGACGCACTGTTGCAGGACTCTGTATACAGGGTGGTGACTTGCGTAACGCATCATAGGGATTTTAATGTAAAATTCCTAACATGCCATTATTGGCTCCCCAAATTATTTTAGAGTAAAAATGTATTAAGGTTTTTTGTAGAAAAAAATTTTTTACGTCAATCAACCGTATTAGTTTTCAATTTTTTGCATAATAAAGACGGAAAATTGGAAAAATAAAACCCCATCTTTTTCAATAATCTGTGATGCCATGGAATTTTATAATACAAAAACTACGCCAATATCCGTCATGCCATGGAATGGCTATAAAACAAATCAAATTCTATCAAAAAGTATTATATTTAGAACAGCGAATTCAACATAAAGAAAGACCAAATTACTAAAAACGGTTTCCTAATATAACAATTTACAATAAATGTTCGAATAAGTCACCATTAACTGCAATGTAACCAAGTCGATCATAAAATCCATTTCGAACTGCTGCTAATTGATAACTGGATATCTTTTTGTTTTAGAAAATTCCATGGCATCGCAGATTATTGAAAAAGAGGCGGGTTTTATTTTTCCAATTTTCCGTGTTTATTATGCAAAAAATTGAAAACTAATACGGTTAATTGATGTAAAAAAATTTTTTCTACAAAAAACCTTAATACATGTTTGCTCTAAAATAATTTGGGGAGCCAATAATCGCATGTTATGAATTTTACATTGAAATCCCTATGATGCGTTACGCAAGTCACCACCCTGTATAGCCAACTACTATAATATTGAATGAAAAATTTTTTGTGGCTCTTTAAAAACTGGGAAATTTTGTAAATTGTAATTTTTGGCTCTTCCGTTTCAATAGGTTGCCGACCCCTGACCTAGATGGGTAATTGATGCCCACCCTGAATAAATTGTTTTTCCTCTGGTACCCATACAATTTTTTTATATTATTTGTTTTTGGTCTTTATTTATAAGTGGGCGTGGTTCAGCCAAGGTACAACCCGTGTCACTAGACATTTACAAATATCCATTCCCAAACCAGGGACCCTTAGTACCACAGTCTAGCTTCACCTCCACTGAGCCACACGAGTCGGCATACTACCCGATCTAAGAGCTATATGAGATCTAGAGATTATATTGTAATTAAATAGGCAGTATCATCCTAGACTAAAATAGAGACACTCAGTTCTTCAAATGACGGGCAAAGATGGATCATGAGAGGGAGATACTTACTGTAGTACCTATTACAGTATTTATATGTTAACTTTTAAAAGTTACAAGAACAATCCAAAATAACTCATTTCTTCCCTTTTGCACCATAGTGGCGCCTTTAGATTACACGCTCCTTTTGAGTGTTTCGAAATGTATTTCCTGATCCTTTTTTGTGTAAATAATAATAATAATAATGACATTTATTGAGCACACATTATACAAAGAACAGATATTATACATTACATTACATAATGGGTGACTCAATAGGGCGAAGTTCAGACTGGAATAAACCGTGTTATTCCGTCTGCTCTACCACTCAACCCCCTACATATGAAATTAACAACAAGAGACCAAGACATAAAAAAACCTAGCACTTTTAGCAAGTAAAGAAAAAACTATATGATAATAAAAAATAGTTGGTGCTTACGGACCTATCACCGCATTGATGTTCATACCTTAAATTTACGCCATAAAGGGCTGCTTACACCACCTATTCATGCAACAGCAATATTTGAGAGGTCATTCACTTATAATTTAACGCAATGGTTTAATACACTAGATATGGACATCAGTAAGTACACTTTCAAAGCATTTAGAACTTGCATTATTTCAAAGTTGCTACGGCAATAATAATCAGAGCACTTTTGAATTTTGTTTCTTATTTTATCTTATTTTTAATATTTTTATTTCCTTTCTGTGATTCAATGTCTTGTAAAATCCGTGTTATACCTCTACCTACTAATGACCACAACATTGTCGATTAAGTGGAATCATTATGGATTAGATGGAAGAGCAGGGGTAGACTTTCTACTCCTGAATCTCGCCCTAGGCAGTGTATTTTTCGTGGCTAGCAAAAACAAAACCAATAAAGACCGTTATTATTATTATTTTAATAAGCAATCGCCGTTTTTTATTGTTTTATCGTTCGTCAATTTTTGGTTTGCGTGCTAGATTGTTGTAAGAATGCAGTTATGATTGTGTTAACTGTCGATTATTGTAAAAGGCGAAAAAAGCGAAAAGAAACTTGATTCGGCTCAAAAAAGAACCAATATATTGATACTCTTTTTCTTAGTCAATCTGATTTTATAGGTTCGCATTTTAATACTCCGCTAGAGATATTTCGTACAAGTACCGCCCAAAACACAGTATTTTACGTTTGTGTTTTCAGTTTTGGATTGCAATCTATATTGGGTGTAATACGATTTTTTGTACCTTTTGCTTGCTTTTATTAGATCAGTGGTTCCCAAAGTTTACTGGGCCCCAATGCATCGAACAAAAATTTACAATCTCAGGACCCACCTCTTAGCTTTTTTCCGTAACTTAACAAGTATTTTAATTTTTAGGAATCATAAATATGGGAATGAAATTTCAAATTTATCACCTATTTTTAGCGCATTTTTACAAATTTATTGGTGATAAGTTAGCTTTTAATCTCACTTTGGCCGGCTTGCTGACTGGCAGCAAATAAGGGCGCGTAAAAGAACCCTTCTAGAAAGACAAGGAATGTGCGTGTACCTACTGGGGCCGTATAATTAACAACCTTAGGGACGGGGCTACATGATCTGGGTGCCATCCCGAACATGGTTTTACTAAAGTGGTGATTTTTCAGATATTTTCCTATCTTCAGTTTTGGTCCGATTTTTTCAAATTGGCGTCGTCGAAATGATCTTGTAAACGCGCCCATCTCCTGCGTGACGGAATTGCATTTTTTCCTGGCGGCAAAATTAATCACCTTTTCCAGGCTTGCGTCTTCAAGGGGCAGCGGAGTTCGAATCGCGGCCTCTCTTTCTCGTGTTTCGAGCTTTGAGAAGTGCCTTAAAAATTGACTAAGTACTATATTTTGTGGAGGGTTTTTGGTGAAGTCCACCCAAATGCGAATTGCGGGTGAACGGGCCGTCGGAAGTGGCTACCGACAAAGGACCCCGACAAGATGTCATTGATGGTGGAGGCAAAAAACTGGCTAAGGCTAATAGAATACTGATCTGACAGGTGGGGAGGATGTGTTGGTTGTGGTATCGGAGAGTGCAAATACATAAACTTATTTTAACATTTTTAACAAGAATGTCATCATGATGTTTATGTATACGTTTTTCCACTTACAACAAAAATTAAGATGGCGGCTGAAATGGCGCTTCAAATTCCGAGTTTTGTAGTATTCTTGATTTAGTTTACCTTAAGTGAGCAAGAGAATTATAATTGTCTTGCAAAGTGCCTGCTTAAGTGAAAAGGAAATACAATAACTTTATTTACACTTTTTCAAAAATGGCGGAGACAGTATGGCGCTCAGTTTGACTCACGGTGGATTATGAATTCACCTTGGTTTGACTCTGTATGCGAGATATAGTATTAAATTAATTATTATTAGTTTAAATTCTAATTATTTATTACCTTATACAAATTCTGCATAAAAAATAAATCGATAGGAAAACAAAATTTTAAAAAATTAGAAATGTGCAAAAACATCAAGATTGATTTAAATTTTACTGATGTAATTTTTGATGTGAAAGTAAAAAACAATTGTTGCGTTAATCTTAATAATGACATTTAAAATTGAAACATACTCGTATCTCGATTGTTATGTGCCAAACTTCATTATTGCATACGATAATTTTTTCAATTCTAATTGTAGTGTCAGAAAAAATTATGCGTAAAACTTGAGAAGTTGAGCCGTTACCTCGCACGCACGTACATACATACAGACGGAAATACTTATTTGTACAACTAGAGAAGAAAGTCGAGTTTTTCAACTCTCGTTACGCTTATGTGTCAAACTTTGAACTCGAGTTGAAAAACTCCACTTTCTTCTCTAGTTGTACAAATAAGTATTTCCGTCTGTATGTATGTACGTGCGTGCGAGATAACGGCTCGACGGATTTTGTTCAAATTTTGGGTATGTATGTTAGCCATACGGAAACGAAAAATAACGGGCCGGATTTTTGAAAAAAAATTTTGGAGCGCCGCAACGGCATCGAAGTTTTTTTTCAAATAGTAACTTAAAATTTTTATTAAAGTATTTTAAAGACTGTGTATAACCTACAAAAATTTTGCCAGGATTTATTATAAAAAAAACTGAAAAAAAAAATGTCAAAGTTAAAAAACTAATAAACTTAAAAAAAACGGTTACTATGATTTCGTTAAAATTTTGCAAATGTAAGAGTAAAACAAACGTGCGAAAACGTTAAACGGTGAAGAGTTGAGCTAGGAAGCTGTTCTGTCAAGAATGTAGCACATTTTTGAAACTAGCCAGCTCATAATGTTGCGCGCCTTGGTTGTCGCCGTGCTGAAAGGCCCTTAGGTAGTTACGCGCATGTAAACTGTGTAAACAATATTTGGCGTTTTATTTGTAAAATTAAATTATTAATACTTCTCTGCAAATTTCGATAATTTGCTATTAAAATATCATAGTCATCAAAATACCGGTTTTTCGGGAACCATTTTGATTTATTTGTTTCGTAAATTATTATTAAAAATGGTGGGTAGACAAACTCATTTTAACCTATCTGTATATATGGGGGTGGCTCCATATAAAAAAATGCAAATTTTTTCTTCACAATTAAAGAAATTAGTTAACATAAGTTTCTACCGTCATTTTGACCACCATCTTGATTTTTTCGGCTACACATTTTTTTTTATAAAATAGTAATAAATAATAAAACGTATGTACTAGATAAAAATCATGATAATATTTTTGTTTATGACAAGAAAAGGATCTTATAGTGAATTTTAGTCGCCATTTTGGGCGCCATCTTGATTTGAGACTTTAGTAGCAGGATTTCGAGGTGGTGACAGGAAAAATCGGATTCAGCAAGGTCTAATTACCCTAAAAACACTTGTCACCAAAATGTCTCAAGATTCGCTGTTAGAAGTTAAGATCTCAAAATTGTCGCCCGAACTACTTGACATTTACCACACTTACCAAACAATTTTTAGTGGCTAACCCCTGATGTGTAACATAGTTCTGGATGTTTACTTTTAGTGAACTAAGAGGCAAAGGTAAAGCTGGTATTTCACCTTGGACCAAAATTGTTCAAAATTTGTGCGATTCAGACAGTTCAGAAGAGAATACCAATATAGGAGTTTCATTAAAGTCGTGGTTCGATGCTGACAATAAAAATACGCATTCTCGCAACTCTGGACAAAGCTCTAATAGTAGCGCAACTGGTAGTTCAAAAGGCAGTAAGCGAAAGTTTACAAAGCCATCAAAGGAAAATGTAGGTGTTACTAAACCTACAAGTAAGGCGGATGGTAAAGCTACAAAGGTCAGAAGTAATGAGAAAAAAGAGCCGCTTAGCAGCTTGGATAACAATAAATTGAAGCAATCTGTTTTGAAGCCTATACCTGTACCAGCCAACACATATAAAACGAATTCGTGTCAAAGTTTTTTGGCATCATTATCAAGTGAGTAGGTTATATGTGGAGCACTCTATGTGTAGCACTGTGCTAAATAACCGAAGTATGATCGATGCCAGTTTAGTCTCAGTCTATCAGACTTCCATATTGTGTTTTCTTACGTAAATCACGCTCGCGAGCATGCAATTTTAAACACAGAGAAAGCCCAAAGAGGGGATTAAATTTTCTACAACAAATTTCGCAACAGCATATACCTATCTTAAGCCGTTTAGGAATAATAAGTATGTCAATGTGCATAATTTACGCGATATCGTTCGCATTACCGTTGAATGATTATTATTTCTAAACTGGTTAAGGTAGACATTATGCCGTCTCGCAGTTTTAATTAAATAAATTACACGATCTATTTGCACAAAACAGTTTTTTACATGTTGTGTAATTTTTGAAGCATTTAAAAATACGGTCGGCGGAAAGCGAACTTGAAAGCGCGAATTAATCAATGGGACATCACAAACGATAATTTTTTCAGGTACTGTGAAGATTTCACAATGCGATCCATCGGCCAGACTCTTTCGAAATAATTTCAAAAATTTCAAAAACGAATTGTTAACGAGGTTGTTTAAATTGTACAATGAAAAAGTGTTTGATAATAAAATTCCCGAAGATACTCCTCTCGAATGGAATGATAAAATGATACGGACCGCAGGTTTTTGTTACTGCAGAAAAATAACAAGACGCACAGGCATCATCGAAAGGAAGGCTCGAATCGTTTTATCAACGAAGGTAGTGGACGCCTGTAATCGATTAAGGGATACTTTAATTCATGAGTTGTGCCATGCTGCTACGTGGATTATAAATGGTGTGGACAACGGGCACGGAGAGTTTTGGAAAGCTTGGTAGGTCTTCCTATGCTTCGTGGTTTATTATTGCTTCGTTATAGGGCTACCAAGGCTATAACCGTCTTTCCTGAGCTACCGCCAATTAAACGATGCCATGATTACGTTATCAATACCAAGTACACATATCAATGCATAGATTGTGGATACAGGTTTTTTCCATCATCTAGTGTCGATCTTTTAATGCTATGTTAAATTTAGCATTGGTCGCCATACAAAATCGTTGGACGTTGAACGGAAGTGCTGCGGGTATTGCTATGGAAAATTCGAAGTGTTCTTGAATAAAACAAACAAAGAAGGCGAAACAAAAAGTGTTCGAGCAACACCGAAGAAAGCTCCATCTGGTTTCGCGCTGTTTGTCAAGGACAATTATGCCACGTACAAAACGCCACAGCTTAACCATGGACAAGTAATGAAACTGCTGGGTCAGAAATTTAACGAAGTCAAAGTATCCCTGTGAATGATGGTGGGACACAGTAGCGTCCGGTTTTTAGACATACAAGATTTTATACTTGTAAAATATAATTTTTATACTACTAATCTTGTTTATTATTCAACAAATGCTTCCTTTATTATTTATTGTATCACGCATAATTTTAACTTGTGTTTTGTTTATGTTCTTTAAGGACTGGTCACGCCATTGCCGGGCACTCAAAATGATTGCTTTATTTAATTTGATCAGACGTTTAAATTAAATGAAATTTGCAGGTGTTATTGTTTAGGCACACTGTAAAATAATGGTCATACACAATGATTACTAGCTGCGCTTAACAGACGTGGGAAAACTTACAAACACATACAGCAAAGTAAGTGACATTTTTCTATTTCATGAACATTAAATTTGTTCAGGGTAGATTAAATTTTGAAGTTAATTTTAGATTTAAAGTTATTGTAATTTTAAAAAAATTGTCACATGTTCACGAACCCAGTCATTTTGAGTTTCAGTTATTTTGGGTAAGCCGAATGGTATATTTGGTAAACAAAATTCACAGATTTCGCAATCCATGCAACCATCGGAAATGATAACCTTATAATAGGTACCATATGTTAAACACAAATAACTGTTACTCGCGCGGAACATTGACTTCATAAAATGCTTGTAATACTATCAAAGAAGATGTGCGAGAATTTTAAATGGGAATTAACAAAACAATTGCGCACTATTAAGTAAAACTTTTCCTTAACTTACCGATCACGGCAAAGTACGATGCAATCGTTACGTGATGTGACAACGTTGTCTTTTGGCCTTGATTGAAACTCGTACCTTTGTACCATTACGAAATCATAAACATTTCCAATGTTCAACATTTTTTTAAAGTGATTTCTAATGAAGTAATTAAATGTTGTGTTAAAATGTTTTAAGTTCTTCAAGTCATTTTCACTGACAAATTATGAGGTGACCGTTTCATTTGTTTCAATGTAAAATGCACAGCAATATTAACAGAAAATTAAATATTTGCAGGTTTCTAGTGCCAAGTAATGGAAAGTCAACCAACACAAGATAGTGAAAAGAGTGTCTTCAGCCATACCCCTTTTGTAGCTTCGTTATAGAAGAACCATTAAGTAAGTTTTATACTACAAGTATTATTTCTTTTTCAATGAACTTTTAAAGATATCAAAACTATCTCCCTCACCATTCCTCAAGATATTTGATGGTACTGAACAAGTGGGTACCTTATTTAAAGGATTCCTGAAGGTATGTAGTTTTATTATATAACATAAACAGTGAACTATACTAAATAGTAAGCACTAACACGACCTATGTATACAGATCCTATGCCTTTTACACCTACTCTTATGTAGGTACCTACTTAATTTGTATTATCATTGATCGAATTTATAATGATAGTTACTCATTCAATGGTATTATGTGGTAATGAAATGATGGTGGTATTCGTGTATGCAAAACTTAAATTTGGGTAAATTTATGATAAGAAAATTTGGGAACGTTGTGCTCAGATAAAGCACCAATTTTAACTATCCCATAAAAATTAAAATTGATAAGTTACCTGAATTATATCTTCAAATATATTGTCAAATGCAGGTATTACGTCGTCTGCTTTATTTTTCATGTACACGTTTTAAGTTACAATTTAAACAACAGAAACAATTACATGTAACATATGAAGCGTAATTGAAAAATCTCTCTTAAAATTTATACACAATTTGAACGAATATTATACTGAAAATTGAGTTATGAATCATCCCAAAGTCTTACGCACAATGATATAAACAATTGTTCAGAAAAACGCAAACTCAATGCCCTTCTCAGGCAACCTGTCAATTTATTTCGAGTTGTGAATTCTATTATATTGTGGTGGGACATATGGTAGCTGATAGGCATCACACCACAATTATCGGTAAAATTAACATGGCGTGATGTCAACAAATCAACACGGCGTTTTCCCCCACGCAATGCGAACCAATCCAAAACATTATGTTTAAATTGAATTTCAATGTTTAAAGTTTAAATGTGGTCGTTAATTTTAGATTGAACAGAACAGGACTCGTTCATATTATTTGAGTTCGACGTAAATGTTTTATTTTGTGTCAGATTTGTTTTGATTTGTAATTGTAAATTTAAAGTAGGTACTTGTTAAAAAGGTAGGGACATTTGGAAATAATTGCGTGTTGTTATTGTAAAAGTTTATCTCCGGTCAGTGCGATAAGAGTTCGACATAGCTGCATAAAGCTAGTTATAGATAAGCGCAGATATTTTGATACAGGAGTTGAGGCGGAAGGTACGTGAAAGGATGCTTTTTATTTGGTGGGCGCTTTTGGTATTTGGCAGTCCGCCGTAATCGAATTTTTTTTTGAAAAGACAGTCAGTCTTGTTTTGTTTGTAGTTTGTCGTAGAACAAAGTTTAGAGAGTGTTTAAAGAGATTTTAATTCGTCTAGTGAGCTGACATGGTTCACGTTTAGGAAGAAGTAATCTAGGTATGTGTAATTCGAGCAGTTATCGCTTATGTGAAGGCATTCTGTAAGGTCTTCAAGTTCCTTGTTAAAGTGAAGTTTTCTACCACTATAAAAAAGCCTCTATATTACGTCGTCTAAAATTACCTACATCAAAAGTGAATGTGTCGTTTAGATCGACAGTAAAGCAAAAGTAAAGAAGTGAAGTGTCGAAGCATTATCATCTGGTGTTTGTGTAGAGCTCTGTTTAAAGAGTATCGCAGTTGACCGGAAATTAGGTGTACGAGCAAAGCCACCTTACTTTCGAGTTCCCGACACTTTTGAATCTCGGTAGCAGTCGGCTCGGACTGGGTACGAATGGGTTTTACTATGTGTATACTTCTTTCATGCGTTGGGACGTGAGACGTAATTGAAAAGGGAATTGAATAAAATGCCCAATGTTGTGCGTAGCAGACGACAAGAACAAATAAAATATATTACGCACAAACAGGGAAACCTTCTTCGGGACAAAAACTCCGGCATGGCCCACACAATACATAATATAAATCAACTACTGCAACAAAATAAGAGAAAATACACAGATAAAACATCTCAAATTGTACGTAAAAATCAGCTAATCGAATCAAATGCAGTTAAACAAATTCATTAAAACAAAACACATAATATATCATAAATTCAAGTGGAAAACATGATAAATCAGTTTAGTACAAAATTACATCTACGAAAAATTAATCTAAACCAACTCGTAAAATGATAAATTGCATGTACATAAAACAACATCAAAAGCATCGCTCTAATCCAAGCATCGATTTCAATTAATTTAACACGGAAAGTACAAGTGACAAATGCCAGTAGTATTCATCTTTAATTCTCCTATCGCACAAGCAAACCATAGATCAAAAAATAAAGTTTTTTTAATCGTCTATCAATCGCTTGTAGCGTGGTATGTGTTATTATGGCCCTGAGTGCCTGTTTTTTTTTCAGTTTGAATGTTTTATATCAAATAAATTTGTTTAAACTAAAAATGATTGTGATTGCCTGTAGCTAAATAAGCGTTTTTATGTTTAATTTGTTTTCTTTCGTACCCTAAATTACTTTAGGTGTTAATCAAAAATTTGTTAATCCGTTCTTTGGAATTTTGGAGGCGGATAACGCTGCTGTATTTTTTCAAATTAGTAATTTTTGCGTCAATATCGATATTTTCGTCGTGGCGGAGATAAAAGCAAAACGGCCAATAGTGCAAACTATAAACCTAAACAATTACTCACTCACACTACATTTCACAACATTTTTTTATTGGACACATTACAGAATATAGCCAATGTATGAAATTGTACTGGAGACTTGATCACCCTAGTCATCATCACTAGTATCGGAAACATAGGCAAGCTGTTCATTCCACCAATCACGAATCTCGTGCGCCGTGTTTGAGATCTTAGGCACACTGGCCTTACTACTGGATATATCTCTCGGTACTCGTGATGTTTCTGTACCCTCATTTAAATGTGGTAAATTTTTATTCGTCGCTGAAAAAATTAATATACATCACAGCAACATCGATGGAACGTTACCAGTTTGTCTGTTGTTTTTCTTCTTCGTCGTAATTCTTTCCTTTTCTATACGGGCGGCAGGATCGGACAAGGTGGGCGCCAAAAATTTACGACCCGAACTGCTTCCTATGCTATCGGAACGGGGAAGAGCAACTACCTTCGCCTTTCTTGCAGCGATCTCGCTTTCCTAAACGCAAAAATCACTATGAGTCGCTCCACGTGGAATTACCTTCGTATCCACCTCACTTTCACGATCCGGGCTGATATTTTTCATTTCAATTGTTGTATCGGTCGGTGGTATCGTCTCATTGGTCGCCCTCAATCCAGCTATCAAGCTATTTTGCTGTTCCTTTAATAAAATTATTACTCGAGTATTTGGGTCACTTGTACGCACATTAGTTGATCGTATTTTCTTCAAGCAACCTTCAAGCCATGTTCGTATGGTTTGTTTCGCAACTTCCTCCTCAATAATGTACTCGAACTCTTCTCTGGCAAGCAATTCTTCTAACTGTAAAGCTTTCCGTATGTCAACCGACCGATAGGATAGCATGCTAAAATTGCGCAAATAGGTTTAATCCACGCAAATTTCACTCACTTGATAACATCGTGGAATGTAACATCCTCGCCATTGTGCAGCCTTTCCAATTCGTAACACATGTGCTTGAACAGCAAACGATCCTTTTGAGGGTCAACTTCTAGGCGTCCTTTTAGGAGGCGCAGAATGAATTTGACGCGTCGCACTGGAATGACACCTCTTTGATGTATGTCAACAATATTCCAGGTATTTTGAAAATTCCTAATATCCGCGTACGACAGTAAGGCATCCTCTTCGTTAGAGTAAAACAGGGAAAAGTTCTCCATGATGATGGCTGTGGTTTATGGTAACTTGAAGACTGAGTGACAGATAGTGAGTACTCACCCACGAGCAAGTTGAGCACGATGTAAGTAATTATGACATAAAATGTACAGAAATAAACCAAGGAACCGGTAAAGTTGCCGCAGTCAGTTTGCCAGTAATTATCTGCCGGTGTGCAGTATGGAGGTTGAATCATGCAATCGTGCATAATTTTAT